TACATTATTTATGTGATCCTAACAAATATTTTTGTGACAAAAACCTTACCCCTAGTTTTCTTTCTTTCCGTGTTTTCTTGCTTTCTTCTCAAAATTGTCTATTTCCATGATTGAACTAAAAGCAAGGATGGTACAAAATTTTTTACTGCCAAATTTACCCTTTACTTCTTCAATTAAATTATGCTAGTTAGCTTTCATCAATTTTTTACCAACGGAAGGTGACATTCTTCCTCTTTTAGATGAATCAAAATAAATTAACATGGTAGTACAAGGGAGGAAGTTGACATTTTTATATATATTTGTCACTGTCAAGAAATGACCCAAATTCAAAACATCTGAAGGGGGCATGCATCTAATCTAGCACATGAAACTCTAATCTAAGTGTCATATTCGATCCTTCATCAAATGTATCAAAAAAAAAAATTATTTTTAACTAATAATTTTCTAGCACCAATCCTGGTAGCTTTTCACCAAGGAATCAAGCTAAAAACATTACGTTTCTTTAAATATAGGAAGCAAATGATTCACAAACAATCCTTACAATAAAGCCTCATATATTACGTGTTATAGAAGATATAATTAACTTCTATACTCAATAAAATTACATATAATTTTGTATATATCTATTCGTTTGATGGCACGAGAATTTTGTAATAATTCAATCAATATTGCCAAATGATGAAAAGGCAAAAGGGAAAAAGCTCATGTCATTATGTCAAACTCAAATTTGGGCCCTAGTAATTATTTTGTTTACAGGGCAATTGCAGGCTCCATTTTAACGTGTCGTTCTCCCCCTGCAGGCATGGCCCAAAATCCCTTTGATTGATTCATCTAATCGTCCAGCAAAAATCATCAATCAGACCCAGGACCTGGAACCCATCAAAGAGAATCAAAATAATGGGGCCCAATTGGCATGTTACTTGTGGGTCCACTTGAAATTGCCATTACTGATTTTTTTTTTTTTCTTTTTAATCAAAAACATGTAGACTAACTAACTCTATGCATTGAATTCAATGAAAGAAAGTGTTGTTTTATAAGTAGTGTCGGGTGTAAAAATCCACAATTGAAAAAAAAAATTGAAACTGAAAAAAATTATAATTGATAGGTAGGGTTTGTGGATTTCAAAAATTTTAATTAAAAACTAAATCAAACCAATTTTAAGCAATTTGAGTTTTTTTTGTTATGTCTAAAAACTCAAAAACAGATGACGAAAGTGGATATAACCTAAAAATTTAGTAAAAAAACCTTTTATATAAACCTTTTTAATAATTTTAGATTTTTTAAAGGTTTTCTTGTCACTTTTCACCAAATTATTCATTTATTTGGGTAATTTTTAACTTTCTAATGAGTGAAATTAATAAAATAACAATTAAGAAATTGAA